ATAGCTCGTTATTGAACGTTTATGGTCAGTCAATGCGTTAAAAGGGGAAATACTCGGCATAAATACTCCGTGGCTACGCCTAGGGTCACCACACAAGATCTGGACGACAATACAATGAGAAGGGAACTACAATACGCGATAGAAGCTGGCAAATCGGCGATGTATGTATTCAGATTTGCGACTGAATCACCATCACACACACACACACACGCACGCACGCACCGTATTTTAGGTCTTCTGTGTAGTAATCGTTGATGTTCGTGTGAGGTCGCCCTGCGAAGTCGTCCCTAGAGAAGGCCTCCTTAACGAGCTTAACGTCGCTAAGCACGATCAGCAGCTTCGTTGCCATCTGCACGTGGAATATCGGGCCGTAGATTTTCGCCCATTCCTGAAACTGGACGTGTATATCGGCTCGCGTGGACAGGAGAGAGCCGATGAAGGGCAGCCGTGTCCAACCGGATGGTCCTGGCGGCAGGTCCGACGGCAGGCCGTAGAGAGCGTTCCACACGTAGTAGGCGGCGAGCAAGAGCACGATGAGCACCAACCAGTAGATGAGATTCATCTTTGCCGTCTGCTCGACTAACGCATACCTAGAATAAAACTACGAAGGTGTTAATTGCCCGTCATCTGCGCCGATATGCGTGACTGCGCGCGGGTTGCCCAAGAGACTGGTGAAAATTTACTCGGCGTATATTCAAGGACATTCACGAGTAAATCAGTGTGAGATACGCGTGGGTTGCAGACACGAACGTAAGCGTATGGCTCGGGTACGCCCTTAATATATATATATATATAGGTCACTGGTGCATGCAACTGAAGCACATATAGGGAAGGGAAGGGAGGAAGGGAGGGGCGTACGTATAGGCGCGTTTGATCCGACCTTGATCGCTACCGCAATTTTCCAGTACGATCTAGACTGGCACAATGTATTACGACTCTCTCTCTCTCTCTCTCTCTCTCTCTCTCTCTATCTCTCTCACGCTCTCTCTCTGTCTCTCTGTCTCTCTCTCTCTCTCCCTTTCCATCTCTCGCTCTCCTTCTGTCACGCTCTCTCTCTCTCTCTCTCTCTCTCTCGCGCGCGCGCTCTCGCTCTCTCTTACCGCAACGAAGGGACCCCGTCTAAGCACGATCGATAGCTAACGTCACGAGCGATATCAGAGAGGATGTAGTATTTTTCCCTCTGACGTCGCTACGGAAAAAATCTGTGGTAAATTATTACCAGCTCGATCGGTACTGCTGATGCGGAAACTGTCATTGCATTTGATGTTCACTTCACACAACCTATATTACTTATTTAACGATATATTTCACGGGGGTATCTTATCATCAGTTTATTATCATTGGTTACACTATTAATTTGCGTTTAGGAATGATTGACCGATTGGTAGTATGCACAACTTAATTCAGTGACCATGACATCTGACCAACGAGTGAATGGTGGGTGACTGCACAGGCACTTGGAGCGTTTCAATAAAATATAATGCTAAATAAATACGAAATCTATTTACCATCTTATTAGTTTTGTATTTATATATATACCTATATATTCATGTGTCAGTGTGCAGCGGCAGCAGCAATGGCGGCAGCCAGTGTTTGTAGTGTTGTAGATGAGCATTTGGACGGCATTTACAGGAAATTGCCGGCAATAATAGGCGAAAGAGAGTATAGAAACATTAAGACTTTGGTAGTAAATAGATTTCGTATTTATTTAGCATTATATTTTATTGAAACGCTCCAAGTGCCTGTGGGTGGGTGACTGCGTGCGTGAAATATCGTGAAACTGTGTGCGATAAACTTAGCAACTATGACCTCCGAGCATATGATGGTATATAATAATTATATGTTGCTTACTGCATGGTGCAAGTGTACCGGGAAAATAAATAGGAGGGACATCGAAAGTTCACACGGAAAATAGAGAGGGGTCGTTGAGGGTACGTTTCACACAGGACATGGGAAGGGCATATGGAGAGTTCCATTCAGGACATGGTAAGGGCACATTGAGGGTTCCTCATTGCGCATGGGTTGGGATTGTGGGGGGGGGGCTCCACACAGGGTAAAGTGAGTCTAGGCACACAATCAAACGTAATATCATCAATGAGTTTATTTGAGGTATATATCTAAAAATTACAACATAATGGATCACTTTTAATTGCAGATCTGCTAAACAGTAGTTACATCTGTAGGCACGAAATTTAACTCTAATGAGATAAAATCACGATCACATGCTGCTAGATAATTTTATTCCGTTGCTGCTACTGCTGCTATTGCAGCTCTACTTGGTGGTCACTAATAACACACCAGCGCAGAGTATAGAATGCATGGAAAACACTGTCACAAACACAGATACGCTCACAACCAAGCAGCGTTCATGAACATTATTGGATTAATACAAAAAAACACACACACGTACGCACGAACGCACACACACGCGCACACACATCAACACTACACATAAACATCGACTACACATCTGCTGGCACCTATTTTGGAGCGTAATAGAAGTTAGAAGTTACCTTCACTCTAGTACATACTAATACCAACAAATCATGCAAAATTGGATTGATATCCTGCATGTCTAAAACCCATATATTCACATCAACGCAGCAATTTGCACTTAATACAATCCCTATCTTCGGGACATGGATAGATTACACAATGTAAAAAGCATGACTCATGCATTCGCGCATAAAAAAACCTATAGAAATAAAATATTTTACATGCGGTTCCATTTGCTAAATTTGAGAGCCATTGGACAATAATTCATCCTTGCATTATTAAAAGCTGCATACTTCCGTCCTAACGCGTGAGACGGAATAAATGTTGACACAAATTAAATGCATTATAAGATGTATTTATTTACACAATTCGACCAACATAAAGGAATAATAACATTTAGATATACATCTCAATTTATACTCTGAAATAAACATATAAGCTGCATTACGTCAACTAGCTGCCAAATTATGTAGAAAATAAAACACATAAAAACAGTGACATAGTTAGTATTTTGATTTAAATTTCCCGTCCTTGGACTTATCACGATTTTTCCCGCACTCAAAATAAAAACCATGTCAATCATAGATAGTCAAATGCAATGTTCTTTCGTCAAGAAATCAAATTCACATGGTTCAGTCCTTTACTAACATATGAAATAACACGTAAAAAATATTGCTATATATTTACATGCTTACTGTTTCAACTACTCATGACTTTCCCACAATCAACACTATCTCAAATATTTCGTAGCAAGATAACTATTTCACATTTAGTTAAACATCCCAGCAGGTGGCGACACAATCCTCCATCCCCGATGTCTGCAAACTGTTTCAGGACTGTCACTCAGAATTCGGTCACTTGCTTGTTCATGACAAATGCTAAAACGAGGAAAGTTGTTCAGAGTATGCACAAGCATGCGGCAATATGACAAAGCCTAAATGATAATTAAGACTAAAGGCGGGCTTATGTCGGGCTTGCGAGCCGACTCGACCGGAAGCAACTGGATTTCGAGCAACTGGAAGCGATCGGCAGCGACTAGTTGCGTCCAGTTGCCCACTGTTCTATTCCGAGCAACTAGTGGCGACCAGTCGCAGGCAGTTGCTTCCAGTCGAGTCGGCTCGCAAGCCCGACATAAGCCCGCCTTAACACCAGTCCCAGACCAAAAAATATAAATGATTGTAGTGGGAAATCCTTAAGGTAAGACTATTCCAAATCCTAGAAAATTTCATCTTAAGTCAGTGCTACATATCTTGGCCCACCCTAGCCTCTTGTAACTACGAAAATGGAATTTAACAATAAAATTACAATTACAGTGAGGTTATATATACGATGTTGCTAAGTGATATCTATATTCATATTAAATACATCTACTATTTAATATTTATGAAGGGATACTAAAACAAACATATATAACAGTATAATTCTCTTACTTTTACAATATGTAAAACAAAATGTATATCTACAATATGTATATGTACAATATGTATAGTCTGCACAGTTCCATGTCATTCTATTTAAGCAATACTATTGCTTAGTTTTATCATAGTCTTGGATTATGCCTGCAGGATGATTCTAGTGACACTCACCAGGTTCTATGGCGTCAGCCGTCTTATGTAAGCTCATGTGATCAACTATTCGTAGTTGTACTTGTCCGACTTGCGCAACTGCCTATAGAGGCAGCAGGAGAAAAGAATGCCAATCACCTGCAAGACAAAATTCTCGTGAATTTGTGCACCTAGGGAATAATTACTATGGTACCTCAGCACAAATAATTCTGACAGTCAAGCATGAACCTTGATAAGGTGTCGGTTATTTTATCATTGTGTTACCCATAAATCTTACCGCTGCAACTTCAACCATGTATTACAGACATTTACGAAAAAATAACAAAAAATCAATGTCCCCATAGTAGTCTCCCCCCCCCCGCCCCGACCCCACCCACTGCCACATCACCCACCGACCCAGCACAACAACACCCATGCCTCCCACACTTCCTGCCTCTGCTGACACCACAATAACCAGCACCACAACCCACAACGACTGTCCACTGCCACCAGTAACGCTCATTGACCCCACTGACCCCCACAACCTTCCCGCCTGCACCCTAGCCACCACCGCTACCACTGCCTCCACAAGCGGCGTTGCAACTGCCACCATCACCACCACTGCTACCAACAACAAAATCAATAGTACCAATACCACCAACACCACCAGCACAACACTAACGAGCACGAAAACAATATCCTCTGCTGCACTATGTGCGGAGGATAACAACACCAGCGACAACAACCGCCAGACATAACTTGCAACCTGCACTACGGTTCAGTTTAACGTTCTACTACTTGGCACGTCGCTGTCACCGAGATGGCATTAAACGTACCTGCAGTGCACAGAATCCGAGAGCGACAGCACCCACTATCACCAGATTGTTTTCGACTTTGTTCTCCATCGCCAAGACGCAACCCTGCAACACAGAACAGCACCTCGTTAACGTAAGTAATCACTCTCGCTCATTTCATTAAATACGTCATGAGTTGTGAACTGTTTTTAAGCTCGGGAAAATGAATTTTAATATTTAATAACCTTTTTTTCATTTTCCTGAAAACTAATACGAAATGAGTGGGCCGAGCACATCTTAACGCAGCGACAGGAAAGTGGCGCCACCTACCGGTGAGTGAATGTTTGACGGGTGGTCGTTCTGTCCACATGTGTTCATCACGGTCTTGCAGCAGCTGTCTGGAACGAGGTTATTGAAGCCGTCGGTGCCCTTGTTTTCCATGATCCAGCGACTTGTCCTCCAGTCGTTAGGGTCTCCAGCTCCACAGCACAGCCACTACACCAGCCACATACATACATTAATTAATTAATCAGGGTACGATTGAATGCTTATGTGACTGCTAAAAAGCAGCATCATTGCAAATACAAGCTCAATAAGTCCTAATATTATCGCCAAATGATTTGATTAGCATTGTTTTGCATGTTGTCTTGTGTAAAGGTAGCAAAAATCTTAAAATTAGCAAATCTTGTTGGCCTGTTCTTGACTGACCTAAGAAAGGTAGTCATCTTTACAATGAATTTCTAGGTATTTTAAATATATGTAACTAACATACAAGTGAGAGAGAGAGAGAGGGGGAGAGGGGAGACGGAGGGAGGGAGGGAGAAAGAGGCAGGAAGAAAGAGAGAGAGGGAAAGCACACACAAAAGTATCATGCCAGCATTACTTTTTCACGTATGACTGTTGTCCTGCTGTGAATGGTGGCTTATAATCAATGGGTGACAGGGTTCTTAAAGCGTGTATTGCGAAAATGTTCCAGTGTTTTCCCCACTTTCATGATACCTACCGTTATTGCTTGAGTAACAGCAATTGTCTAGAGTAACAATAAAATGTCTTAGAACCTCTTTTTTGTAAACATTCGTTTTCTGTCATCTTGAACTAACAGGAAGTATGGATTAGCTTGTGGCGCCACCGCTTATCTGCCATACCCACAGTACAGGCACGCACTTGTTTTCAATTCATCACCGACACAAATACAAGTTTACCAATTCTGCCATTAGGCATTGTCGCGACACAATAAAATGCATTGCTGTTACGATGTGTTCATATCCAATTTTCTATGATATAACTGCATAAAATATTAGTATTTTTAATGTTGGTGTAATCAGTGATATTTTCGCTGTCGGGTGAGACTATATTCAGCTATATTTAGTTTTTCTGAGCAAAAATCTCGCAATACACACTTTAAATGGAATATGAGAAGTAAGGTTACAATAGGAAGCGATCATGGGGCATATTTTACCTCCTCCTGAAGATCGTCAATCGCCGCTGTCATGTCCTTGTCATACATGTAGTTATTTCCAAAACTATCCCTCAAGTCAGCAACGATTTCACTGCTCAACTGCAACATCCGGACATTTTCACGAATAAGCAGGACAGCCACAATATAAGAGGCCGGACAGCCGGCTGTTTAACAATAACAGCAGTAACAACAGCAGTAGCAGCCAGATGCGCAACTTCCTACCCTAACTCAGCAGGCCACAAGCAACCACACCCATAGCTACGGTGCCGTGTATTTTATCTGTGCCAATAAAGCCGCGCCGGCTGAAGGCTCCGCTACTACTGTTTGGAAAAGCAATAAATGATCAGGCAAATTGGAGCAGGAGGAAATTGCCACCACGCACAGCTGCAATGCCTCCCCACTGATCCCCACCACTTCAGACGGCGCACGATGCTAGCAAGATTGGGTTTGTTTGTTGCCGCGGGCTTCTATCGTTGGCTAGCTAAGTATTTATTCTAGCACATCTGGTGTTGATGCAGTCGGGACTAGAAGACATACTAGAGAAAACGTGCAAGCCAATTAGAACTTCGCCTGCGGATTTCCCCCACTATTCAAACTTGAAAAATGTACCTTACTACTGCTCAGCTGTGCAGGTTTACATCAGACACACTTAGAAATTTCTCACATTCTTGCAGTCAGCAGTGTGACATGCTTTAATTACTGTGTGAATTATACCTGGTCCTTGTAGATATAGGCAAGTATCCCGGTAACAGCCTCCAGCACAAAAACGAGGATCAGAAAGATCGCAAACTGAAATGCAAATGAATTGTACAAATTTAAAATACTGCACTAGGTCTGACTAGGGCAGGACATAAAGGCAGAGCATTACGAACATCTGATACATTTTATTGTGTTTTCACGGATGAGCTATGTTTGTTGCACATCTGACGCATGGTAAATCGCCATAAAAATGTGTTTAAAACGCTGCTGGAAGAAAAAAAAAAGGCAATAAAAATAACACATTTATCTATGGCGCAGAACCTCGTATGAAAGTGTGCATGGCATCTTCTATTGGAAGTCACAGTGACGTCAGCAAAATGTGTGCATACATCACACATTCACCCACAACCTTCTGGCAGCCTTCTGCTTAATTCAGTGACAACTACTTTATATATATACGCTGTATATTTTGCGGTGGTTTAATTTTCACGAATTTCACGAACGCGTCCCCAACCGTGAAAATAATAGCACACGAATAATTCATGCCGAATAATACCGAATGATTCATAATTCACCGACCGCGAAATTAACCACTCACGAACTTGTCCGTCAAGTCTGAATTCGCGAAAATATCTGTACGCGAAAAATATGGCGTATACCGTACATAAAGCAGACGCAAGTCGCGTTAAGAATCAAGCCCCACAACGTGGCCGACACGATACTAGAGTGTTTGGAAGTCGCATTCATTCATGCATGTCAGTGACATCACCGCCGCGAACAGCATGAAGCCCACGCCCGACTTACCACCAGGATGCAGCACCTGTCACTCCTAATGAGGCCGCAGCAGCCGACGATGGTGAGACAGATGACGAGGCAGCCGGCGACGATGAGCAGGTAGGCGGTGGCCGCGAGGGCGCCACTGCTCAGTAGGCTGATGTAGCGTTCGTTGCCGATCACGCTCCACACGCCGACGCCCAGCACGGCAATGCCTGCAAGCTGATGAAATGCACGCGTGAACGAACGAGTCTGCACAGAGAGATGACAGCACAGCTAGCCACAGGAAAAAAAACCACGACCGGGCCGTGACGAGATGAAACAATCAAGACGCGCGTGAACGAACGAGTCAGCACAGAGAGATGACAGCACAGCTAGCCACGGAAAAAAAACCACGGCCAGGCCGTGACGAGATGAAATAATCGAGAGGCAGTACATCATCGGAAATATCGTGACTGCTGTGAAAACGTTACCGCGTGTTATCATGGTGAACATGAATTTGCATTATCAAAAGACGTGCATGTACTTGATTGTTATGCGAGTTCTCCTTAGCCGTACGGACATAAGCATTTCATTTGGATGTAGTTACTCACTAGTGGTATGGGGGGGGGGAGGGGTGAAGGAAAGAATGTTTCCCAGCTAAAATAACATGGTTGCCAGAAAAAAACAACAGTACAGTTAAGGTGATAGGGAATGTGTCAGAAGTCTAAGTCAATGAATAGCAGAAATGTTGAAGAAGGCTCCCAACTAGATTACTAGCATGTTACAGAAACTTTTGAGTTTTGTAAATGGATTTAGTCAGGAGCTAATAATTATTATTATTATATTTGTCATTATTAGCTCCTGATTTAGTTCAAGTCAATAGCTTTTCATACATCCACTACATAATCAAGATAGATACGGGCTAATGCAGCTGCAGTAACGAACCGTTACTAATACATTTGTTTTTTTGACATTTTACATGGTGTCAGCTATACACCACATGCGAAACATAAGCCCACGAATCACGTCGTCATAAAAAAGCACTGCCTGTCAAGGCCACATGTGCACATGAGGCACTGTTTAGTGTTTACACATTACTCAACCATCTTTCACATCTCCGTTGCCGACTTGGCAATTAAAAAACACATTAGAAAAGGCAATTATGACACTTTTAACATGAATTAAACATCTACGATACGTCTGCTTATTTGAGTACCACGATCACCACCAACCAGGGAGCCAAGCTGTGACTACACAGATACAACGTTTTTAAGGAATTTAATTCGTTCGCCGAAATACTCGCCGAAATCAGTGTTATCATAGGAAGCATTTCCAATCAGCACTGAAAATTAGTAGGTAAATCTGTGAAATCCCATCATTTGTCTACATGATACTGATTATATGGAAGCAGTCCTCACCAGCTGCAGTAAATTGTTCCTACCCTCTCAGTGATGGAGACTATATACCCTATACTGTGTCTACATGTGGGTCCTACTCGTGTTCCTGCATTAACCTCTTGTAAATTTTAGCAAAACTGTAGGAAATTTACAGTTACGATGGTCATGTAATGGGATGTGGGATATGGTGCCATGGTTATTGATGATGCTACACAACTCATAAAGCAGGTGGTGGGCACGTGCCCACTACTCATGCTAACACCCAGACTATTATGTAATATTAATCACCTCATCATAGATATGTTACACCACCATACGCTATCACAAAGCCACAAGTTCAGTCACAGATGAAGCTGTTTTATTCAGATATTTTTACCTCCGCCAAGGGGTTGGCAGGAGGTTATGTTTTCACCGGCGTGTGTTTGTTCGTTTGAGTGTTTGTTTGTTGGTTTGTGTACAGCCTAACTGAAAAAGTTATGGACGGATTGTTATAAAATTTTCAGGATAGGTCACAAATGGGCTAACTTAGAATTGATGACATTTTGGTGGTGATCCGGATCCAATTAATTAATAAAAGTTTCAGGATAGGTCAGAAATGGGCTAACTTCGAATTGATTACATTTTGATGGTGATCCGGATCCAATTAATTAAATAATTAATTAATTAATAAAAATTTTCAGTGAGAGAATTCAGCTGCCTTGGCAGAGGTCTGCACTCTCCGAGTGCTCTAGTTCTACATATAATCACATTATATAGAATTGGTGCTGGTTTTTTCTCCTCTAGAGACAAAAAGTTTACTTTTTTAACTAGTTAGAGTTATTTATCTACTACCTCACAGCATCCAACTAAGTTTTTCATACACTGTAGGCAAATAACACATGATCAGATAGGCGGGCGACGGAATATAAACATAGCAACATGGCTGGTACAGCGACAGCATCATGCGCATCACGCCCACTTTTTGCAATTAGTACAGACGAAACCTTAGATCATCACTAACTAATGAAATTGCCGACATTTGCTAAGCTATATGATAAATTTTGATCCAATTTAGAGAGGTAGAAGTGTCTTCAACTGCATCTAACCTCACTGAATAGGCGGCCTATATAAGCCACAGGCACTACACACCGTGTTCCAAAAAATCAACTTTCATATACCGTGTAGATAGCTCTACTCATGAACATATATATCCTCATATGTGCGCGTGTGTGTGCAGGCATGCATGTTATCAAGCGCGTATAAAGAAGGTATACGCTCTTTATACGCTCCTTTATATGCTCTTGATGTTATCAGGAGCGTATAATGACAAATACTTTTTGACTTTACTTTTGACAGTTAATATTTGTAAATATACGCTCCTGATGTTATGTATGTATCCACGTATGTACGTATACATGTGATCATTGTCTACTCTATGACTGATAGCATTCGCTGGTAAACATCAGCACACTACAGTAGAACAGGAAATTGCACAAGCGCCACTACGTGTACAGTTAGCATAGGCTAACATAGGCATCGGATCGCGTTTCGCCATTGAAAGTTTTATTGTATGTACTCAGTTTGTAACGACCCAACCTTGTAAACGTTGAGCTCCTAAAGGTTGAAGAAGCAATTGGGTGACCGAACACAGTCCTAAGGTGCTTTATGGTAATTGGATGCGCAATTTTCTATGTGATTGTTGCATTCTTACCGTCATGGTTTATCATTGAATAGGCACTGTATTACTAATTTTAAGGCATTATCACGGTATCACCACAGCCGAGTTATTCATCCTGTGCAACTATTATATTTTTAAAGAGATTCGACGGATTCGTCCTTGCCACACATAAATGCAGCGAGGGATAGCTGGCTGGGAAACCAATGGTATACGCTCCCTTTAGGAAGTAGACTGACGCAACAACACTCGTAGCAGCAGTGACAACAACAACAATAACTCCACCACCACCACCACCACCACCACCACCTCCACCACCACCACCACCACCAACAACAACAACAACAACAACAACAACAACAACACGTTGCTGGAACTAACAAGGAGAACAGCTCGTTCTAAACGCTAGCAATTATGCATTTCCTTAGCTACGATTAGTGGAATCCAACCTCGTGCATAACAACACACACAGCTGAGCAACGCTCCCTGCATACAATACATACCAGGAAGAAGAATGTGAAGATAAATAGAATGTATTTGAGAAAATCCACACTACAGCATCCTTCGGACTCCTGCTTGGCCATCACTCCTGTTGATGTGAAAAAAACCGCACGACTGTGTTGGTGCTTCCTATCTGGAAAGTTCTGTAGAAACCAATTCGTAACGAATTAGGAATGGTAATTTGTGCCATCCGGATATAAAATTCATCAACACATAAGCTGTATTCATATGCGTACATATCACTGTCTTTTACATACAAATCAATTGATTCCCTTAGCCTTGCTTAATTTTCTGTTAACACAAACATACTACTCTGGCTACTTCAGAGGTTTACTGGTAAAACCTAAAGAGCACCTATCTTTTCACTTAAGCAAAGATCACACGTTATCCATTCACCTTCGATATGGCTTCTTGCTTGCTGTTGCTATTAGTATTAAAGCTCTGTGCACGAACAAGCACGCTAGTGACGCTACTGTATTCACCGCACTCCGCTCTTCACCCAACTCACATAAAGAGTACACTGCTTCTTGCCTTCATCCCCTCGACTGCATGATGAATCAACGAACGAACGCACAAAAACTGTGACTGCGCCACGAACTATTTCATCATAACCATTTTAAAACAGGAACTACACAAACGCGCGCATGCCTAATGCCTGACTGCAAACAGGGTGTTCACAACACCGTGCGTAATAACAGTCTTCATTGAAAGAAGCCATGCCTGTCTAAATTCTAATACAAATAACATGATTAGAGCATAAACAGAAGTTATCTGCATGACTACAGGGGACATGCTTAATTAATGTTCTTACCCTATATATATATCATGTGCGTCTCCTGCACCAGCGTTGTGAGTATGTCCTAATTCACTCCTAGCAAGCACGCCAACCAGCACCACCTATAAATAACGAGAATGTGATTGGAAAAACAGAATTCTGGAAGCCGATACAGAGCGGATGCCAAGAGTAGAGATCGTAGTACTCCCTTCACTGACACGTGGGAGGCAGTGAGCACACAGCCATGCGCAACACAATTGTGGCTATTTCACATTTCAATCCATCATGATCAAGGCACATGTGAAATTCATCTTAACACACCACCATCAGAACATGAATTATCGCCACATGCTTGCTACTGGTTCCAAAGTGATTGCTACACCACCTCCTAATGGTAAACTGTATACATCCGATCTATCCGGTGACAGATGGACAGTATTTTCTCTCATCGGTGGGTCGCTGGCTGGGGCAACACACGAGGCACGTGAAGTTTAAAGCCCAGTGGGTGCCAGGTTGTCCCGCATTGTATCATCGGCTCCTATTTCTCACACCAACTAAAATCCCATTCAAATCAGGCTGCAGCACTCTTTGGTATTAATATAACAGCACTTACTCCCAGCAGGGGTTAATAATGACAAATTTGTCATTATTAATCATTTATTACTTTAATTAATTGATTAAAAATGACAATTTGTCATTCTTGGCCCCTGCTACTAGACATGTATGCACCATCAAACGAATGCCTGGTATCTGACTGTTCATCGTAGCAGCCTAACTGGACCTAAGGAGACTCCCAATCAATCCTCCCTTACTAATGTGCACACTAAAGTGACTTCCTAAAGGTTACAGCTAAGTTTATAGTTTAAAAAAAATACTTTTTACAGTTTCTATCCAAAACGGGCACTCTACGGGGTATACGAGACGAGCTATCCATACGAGATAATGAAAAGTGATTCTCACTGGTGCAAAACTTGATCACAGCATTCGAACCTTTTCATTGTTAAAACGCACATTCGCACACCCACCAGATTTTTAGCAGAGCAAGATATGCATTCGATGCACCATGCAAAGACTGAAGATTTCTGTTCTATTGGAGTTTACAGGTTACTGATACAGGAGCACACTTAACCCTGACCAATTTCCAATTTCAGAAAACAAATACATGCTAGCAGTAACATATGAATAGACAAGTGTCTATAAAAGGCAGTTTTTGCATTTTCCCTGAAAGGCAGTTATACAAAGAAGCAGTCTCTATCTAGAATGAAACCTCTCTATAACAGACACTTTAGGCTGCACTGGTGTGTGTTTACCCTTAAATTCAGGTTTAACTGTACGAATAAATAAATAAATAAATAAATAAATATATATATATAAATATACAGGTATATGATTTAATTCCTGATATCAGCCATCTTACAAAGGAATAACCTAGTTTATAGCTGATTCACAGGTCCCTGGAAGCCTGAAGGTTACACGCCCCATCTGCTTGTCACTTTCCCATATTAGAGGACTCATTACCATGGCCAAGCTGTACTACTTTCTAAGCAGGACCAGCTGTCCAAGTAATGTTATACCCACAGCTATTACCAGTGAGCCTTGTAAGCAATACAAGCAATGGTGGTTTCCCTACAGGGGAGATATCAGCTGAGAAGCCTTTAAATGTCCCAAGTAAGGAGTATTATAGCTGCACCTTATCAAGTAGTAGTATCATCCTGGCCTCCCCACTCTTCCCCCAACCTCACCACCTCCAGCAACAGCCTGTCATACCCCAGTCAGGCAGATAAGGTCTATGACTATGTCTCCCTAACCTCTGTTTGACCTGGCTCGTTTAGCTATTTCTGACTAATATTATTAGTGTTGTCAATCGGTTGTAATTTCGTAATCGATCATTGGTTGGACCCAAGTAACCGATTATCGGTTACAATCGGTTACTCGGGGTGATTAATGCCTGCATGTGTGTAACGTCGTGTGCACGTATGTGCTTGTTTAGCCAGCGTATAAAATCCTTAGTGTGTCCTAGGCTTTAGCCCCTCAACAGAAAGTAACTACGGCAAATGCCGGGTGATTCCCGAACTAAAATAGCGATGATATCTCTGATTCTCATCACTTTTCCAAGTTTTCTTGTTCAAGTTAAATTACATTTATTTTGGTAGCGCTTGGTTCAAGCTACTGTTCAACCGATGATCGAGTATAATCGATGATCGTCACATCACTACTAATATATATAATATATAATATTATATAGGGTTAGGGTTAGGGTTAGTCAGAAATAGCTAAACGAGCCAGGTCAAACAGAGGTCAGGGAGACAGAGACCCTACGGGCCCCAGTCAACCACAGTAGCCTCAGCCCTGTGACTTGTCAAAAGCATCATCAGCCCCATCAGATATTAGCCACCATATATAAGATATTTTCCGGACTACACATGTGAAGCTACTGAGTCAGCGTTCTCATATCAGAAGCATCTAGACATCAGCTTCAAAATTTGATCCCACATCAAACAGTGTTTTCCCTGGCCAAAAAGGTCTGTGAGGTGGTAAATTTTTGTTTTTGGCGTGTTAGTGCGTTTCGAAGTCCCAGCTATGGGGGTGCGGGAAATGCCCCCCCCCAAATGTTTTGAAAAAATTGTGCACTTTGGTGCATTCTAAGTTATATTTCAATTTTAGTTCAATAAAGTGTCATTTATTAATGCAAGAACAGTGATTTTCGTCAGCAAGGCGGTGTTTTGGACAAATTTCTGTGTGCCGGCTGAGAATTTGAGCGAGGTGGCCTGCCTTGCTCGTGTCAATGCAGGGGAAACACTGCACACATGCCACTGTGCACAAACACCAAGTATAAAGAGTACTTGTTGTACTTTATACTTGTTGTTTGCGCACAGTGGTGTCTGTGTGTGGTGTACTGGTGTGTTGCAGAAGTGCATTTGAACGGCATTTACAGGAAATTATCAGCAAGAATAGGAATCAGGAAAAAAGGAATCAAGGGAAAAAGGGGGGAATCAAGGAATAGGCGAAAGAGAATAGACTGTAGAGAAACATTGAGACTTTGGTAGTAAATACATTTCGTGTTTATTTACCATAATTTTTTTTATTGAGATGGGCCGTGACTGTGTTAGTAACGCTCATAGGGTCTATGTCCCCCAGGGTACTGCCGGAACGTACCCTGTGTACGGTCCGGTATACCGGAACGTACCCTGGTAACTTTTTGATATGGTTAGGGTTAGGATTAGGGTTAGGGTTAAGGTTAGGGAGTAGGCGTAGGCGACTCCCTAGACTCGTTAGTGGAGTAGGCGAGGTACGGTCTTAAGGTTAGGGAGTAGGCGTAGGCGACTCCCTAGACTCGTTAGTGGAGTAGGCGAGGTACGGTCCGGCATATTAGATAGTACCAGGGTACGTTCCGGCAGTACCCTGGGGGACATAGACCCTCTCAGCGTTAGTAACCTTCTCGCTTTTCACTACGTGAAATTAATACTGATACTATATATAATAGTAATACTAATAGTGACTAATAGTACTAGTAATAGTATTACTATTACTATTAGTAGAACTAGTAGTAGTAGTAGTAGTACTAGTAGTAATAATACTAATAGTATTACGTACTTCTAGTCGGAGCAAATCCACTCTAGGCACCTTAGGTATCACGAAGTGATGCACAGATTTCTGTGTATCATCGACTGATGCACAGACTTTCCGTATATCAACGATCAACAGGATCTTAGGATATTAGGATCAACAGCAAAGCTGTGCCACGCAATCTTGTATCATGTCTCTCTGGATATACGGAAAGTCTGGGACCTATCCCATCACTGTACTGGACATCATCTCTATCCTTGAACCAAAGTGGGTGCATCAGTTGATGATACACAGAAATCTGTGCATCACTTCGTGTAGATACAATAATGTAACCCAAACACAGGATAGGTTGGGTTCATTACCCCTATCCTGTGTTTGGGTTACATTATTGTATCTACACTTCGTGATAGGCTAAGGTGCCTAAAGTGGATTTGCGCCCCAGTCTTCGGTTCAAGGATAGAGAACATGGGGCCCATTGAAACCTATGTCATTTTCGTAAATGTGAGGGTAGCCCCTTTAAAATCGACAGGAGTACTGGTCAGTGTGTTCTTTGTTCATTTCAACCGATAAACATGATGTGAGTTAATAGGAAGTGTCGAAAAAAATGCGTTCAAGCGACCATACTCGCCCGTTTTCGGCCGTTTCTGACCGTTCTAGTAATTATAAATCAACATAATAATCATTATACTAGTAGATGTAGTACTAGTACCAGTAGAAATTAAATATAAAAGTTCATACCGATCATGAAACTTGAAAGCGGTTCCTGTACATGTGAGGGAAGTCCGACACCAACGATTCTGGACAAACAGAATTTCTCCAAGAGAATCGCTTATTACCGCTTAAGATAACATATGTTGGATCAAGGATGGTCTGGGACACCGCAAATGTGTTTTCGCATTTGTGCTAAACTAGGCTTGAGTCCATAATTTTACCGGAATAAGCAATTAAACATCATATATATGGTAAACAGATAAAAACAGTAACACTAACAATAAACAGATAAAATTGCTATGATATTGCGTACCGCTAGACGGCGCCAAGAAAAATGCGTCCCATCGGTGATTGGCTAAGGGTAATAATAGCAGGAACGACCTAATTTCCTGTTCAACCGTTAGACTGGTGCTCGCTCCCACCTCTCGGCGAGCACCAGTCTATTGAGCTGTCTGCATTTCAGCTGATTTCGGTTATCGATACCTATATATTATTTCTATGGTTACCACTGATAAAATCAGTTACAATACACACGTGCCGTCGGCCCGCCCGCGACTAGTTTGAACGTATGAGAACGGACGAAAATAATTTTCTTGCCAGTCAACGGTGACCGACGCACGAGCGCCATGCATCTTCATTACCGTATCGTCACACATTTTCCCGGGTTATTTTCTTGTAACTAATATTGGTAATTGGTGCGTGACGTCATTTAACTGCACCATCAGTTTAACCAGCGTTAAAGATATGTACTGTTCATCAAATGTTCTTGCGCAAAAATGCCGAAGTTAGGCGAACTGTGAAATACCCGCGTGCTGGAATCTACTGTGCTTCGATTTTTAGTAGTAAATAATGAGACGTATAAGCGTAATTTAATACGTTCAACACTGTCAGGTTATCAATAGACCTTCACCTTGCAGCGAGGTTTCCGCGTTTCCGCTGATATTTTAAATCGAAACTTGTCCTATTTACTGAGACATGATAATTTTATACAGTATTATTTGTATAATAAAAACGTTTGTGCATGCATGGTGATTACGGTACGATGGTGGTTTTCATACCCCATGTTATATTTTCTGCCGGTCCTTGATACAGCCATGGCACGCACGCATACGCAGGCAGGCAGCTTCGCACCATACACCCGAATTTAAATGTTTAATTAATTAAATTTACATGTAAGTTTATAATACCGAGCATTCATCCCCCAAAGTTTCAATGTTATGCGTAACATGGGTTTTGTATAAAAAAAACGCACGTAGCCATACGAACATTACGACTGGTCGCCAAAGCACAGCGTTGCATACATTAGTGATATATATATGCATTAAAGAATATTATTCATATAAGGCGGCCTGCATGCGGCTGGGCGTTATATGAGGAACTAGCAGCTAGACACCCGGCTTTGCCCGGTAAATAAAGCGCTCAGTTGGTGACCACTTGGTTGAAAGAAAAATACCCCAAAATATATCTATCTATTTATCTATCTATCTATCTATCTATCTATCTATCTATCTATCTATCTATCTATCTATCTATCTATCTATCTATCTATCTATCTTTCTTTATTTCTAACTATCTATCTATCTATCTATCTATCTATCTATCTATCTATCTATCTATCTATCTATCTATTTATCTATCTATCTATCTATCTATCTATCTATCTATCTATCTATCTATCTATCTATCTATCTATCTTTATTTATTTCTATCTATCTATCTATCTAACTATCTATCTATCTATTTATCTATCTATCTATCTATCGATCTATCTATCTATCTATC